AAAAGAAAATGATGGACAATTTATGGAATTTTGCCTTTCATCGCCCCAGAAGTTCTAAAATGGAAATTATACACTATCGCATCAGATATTTATTCATTTGGCATGATTATGTGGGAAAGTTTGTTTTGTATGCCTGTTTCGGTAAGTGAAGATACACCACGTTGTTATGTAAATTTAATGGAAACATGTTGGAACGAAAATGTAGAAAATCGACTAAAAGCTAACAAATTATGTGAAACCTTTAAAGAATGGCAATTTATTTATTAAAATTAGTACAATTATGTACATTTGAATGAATCGTTTTCAATTAAAGGACTTGTAAACAAACAAACTTTGGAAGGAATGTACGGATCTTTAGCAAGTATATCAGATTATAAAGATATTCTTTCAAAGGTAAATGAATCTGAATTTAATATACTTGAAACCAACAACAAATCTAACCAAGATTCTTCCGTTGGTAGTAGTTTGATTCCTATTGATCTTCTGGATTTAAGATCGAGTCTTAAGTTATTTCAGAATAAATTAGAAACTATTTGCATGTTTAAACTACGGCTTTCAAATAAATTGATATATTTACTAGATTTTTTTGATTTTTTTTGTCAATTATTATAAAATGCACCAAAGGTGGTTTTGCACCTATTATATGTTTTTATTGGGATCATTAGGATCTTCCAGATTAAGCAATCTAAATGCACACTAAAATCAAATTATTGTAGTTTTAGCAATATAAAAAAAGATTTATGTTTGGTGTAATATACCCTAGAAGAACTAGTATGCCCAACTAAACTCTTATTGGCACAGCACCAGTTATAAACTTGACCAATAATTTCCATTTGTTTTTGACCTAATAATAATTTTTACCATAATTTGACAATATCCATTGAATTTCAACTCAATACAATAAATAAATCATGCCAGAACATAACATACCGAATTTAAAGTGAACTGGAACTGGTGGCATTATTTCAAGTCTACCTTTGATAAGGATCATTCGAAGGTTGCTAGGATTTGCAAATGCAATTTTTTCAAATTGCTGCAAATTACAATCAGGAATAATAATGCGTGGAATAATATTAAATGGAATGTCAAAAGACATCGCAAGTCTCTTTCGTTTGAAACACACATAAATAATGTGTAAATTATAATAGTTAAAATTCGACATAAAAGTGATATATGATGAACCATATCGTTATTTCTTAACTGAAAAACATACTGGTATTAATTTTTGGTGATTTATTTTCGCTAATTTTTTGTTGGCTATAAGAAAAGGATAATAAGACTACTAATTGTAACATGTTATATAAAGGGAGAAATATCAATTCTTACTTGAAAGTTTGAAACAGGAAAGCTTGTCAATCAAACACCTCCATCAATATACGTAAATCGATAATCAGAAATCAATTGCTATTTAAGGATTACTAGCGTTAACAAAATGGCCTAAAATATCACCTAACCTTAACACTAACCATAATTTATGCCGAATGTTTAATCATGTGATGTGGTTAGCACGATATATCACTGGGTTGAATTAATATAATTGCAAATTTATTTTTATACTGTATAGAAAATACTTCTTTATACTGTATTTATGATTTTATTTAATAAAAAAATATCATTACACGAAAAATAGACAAAAAAGAATTTTACTAAAACGCACCTATGGTATTTTACACCTATGTATATATTATCTCAAAAACTGGCTAATTAATCGGTGTAAGGTGTTCTAAGTAAAAATGTTCTAAGCCCACAAAAACCCTTCCCAAACCCTAATTCTAACCTTAATATTAACTTTAACGTGAAAAAATTGGTGTTAAAAATTTTATATACAAAACTTATAAAA